TGGTGACTAAGCACTTGTGTAAATATAGGTCGTAAACTAAAGTCAGAGTGGGCATAGCATAACCATAGATGCCATCCCCTATGGCATCAGGTTAAGTGTTATTTTAGCGATTGGCATTGTTTCTACTTCTGATACGACTACGATATTTGCAAATTTGAAGAATGAGTTCACTTGATTTTTTTTTTCTAAACAGCTCTTGATGAGCTAACACTTTACAAAAAGAACATTTAATGCCATGATCCTATGTTTTAATTTTTTCATATAGTTTTCTTAGTCTTAGATATATTTCTTAGTGCAAAGTGCATATTTGCCAGAGATCTTATATCCATTACTGAAATCTTTAATGATTTGAAGAGAAACAACAATTATAAAGTAACCTATTTATTGAACCTTTATGTATGTATATATATATAAAATACATATTACTGCATTCCTCTTTCCTGTCACTTCTGTTCTTCAGTAACAGACTCTGTTTTACTATTTGGCACATTCTTGACAGCATTGCCAAACAGAGAAGCAAAAAGAATATTAATGGCACCATCATCCATTTGTGGAGGGTAACAAGGTGCTAAATACTGCTGAAGTTTACTCATAACCTGTAAAGAAAGGAATAAAGACCATAAGAAAGGACGAGACAAACACACAGAGAAAAGAGAATAATATTCATAAATTATAAAGATACTGTTGTTTCTCTACATAAAACTCAAATTACATGAACCTCCTGAACATGTCAAAATATGATGAAACATTTTACAAAATCATTTAATGTTGTGTTACTTACATCGAACCTAATTTTCCGTCCCTTGCTGGCTTTGGTGTCTACTTTCTTCTTGGCTTTCTTACGTAGGTTTTGGATTTCAATCCATTTCCTTGACACATCTGTCATGTCTTCTGATAGTGCCACCTTAGCTTTCAGTACCTCTTCCAGTGACCTTGTATAAAAGTCACTATCGTCAAATATCTCGGGGTCATATTCTTCCTTTCCCACCTGAGTAGATAAGATAAGTCCTTTATGTTTAACATATGGGGTAAAAAAGACAGGTTAATGAGGGATACACCTTGCTACCTACATTGTCTTCAACTGAGAATGAGCATTCACCTGTTTTACATTTTACACATATTACTTTCAATAAATGCACCTTGAACTCTATATCAAAATGTTCAATCTGTCTGAAATTGTAACTCAATATTAATACTAAATTTACTTCTAGTAATAGTAAATGAGTCATTTGAGTGAAACTATTAACCCCTATGATCTGGATGATGTGACACCATGTCATGAAAAAAATTGGCTTGAGGACTAGGTGACGTAAACAAGCCATTGTGGAAAAATTTGGCTGTGGGCCTGGGTGACACAAATTTGCCATGATGAGAATTTCAGCTGAAGACCAGGGTGATGGGAATGACTTGCCATGAGTGTACAAAAGCTCTTGGAAAGTGATTAGACTCATTTGGCATTTAGGGAGGGTCTTTTGCATTATTTCCATCAATAAAAGGGTGTGGAGTGTGTTGTCCATAAGCCATGACTGAATGAGTGCAAGTCAGAGGAAGGACCCTATTTCCATGCTAAGGATCCTAATCATGACCGGCAGCGCAGATTGTACTACAGAAAATTGAATTCAAAACACACACACACACACACACACACACACACACACACACACACACACACACACACACACACACAAACACACACACACACAAAAAAAAAGAAAGAAAGAAAAAAAACAAAAAAAAAAAACGACTTATTGTTATTATTACTGCACTGAGTTATGGACAACCTAGAGAGATGATCTGGAGTCTGTGCAAGGATAACATTATCATCTATTATCATCTGCATGAAGCAAGCCAAATGACAAATATATATATACTGGAAAATCATTAAAAAAGGGGATGCATGGGATCATGTCACATGAGTATTTGTGGGCCTGTCAGAGTGGCTGCTCAATTAAGCCTAAAGCCCAAATTTTGTGCCACATGATTGCAGTGAAGCATCTGGATCCAATGGGTTAAACAAATGAACTAAAAGAATAATTAATTTTGTATAATTTATCCATATAATTACTTTGTATAAGACGGTATTTCTCTTAATCTAAGTGTATATAAATAACACCTCTAATAAGTCATATTAATCTCAGTAACTAATTTCTTTGTACTATTATAATCTAATTTTTAAAAAAATTATGAGCAATAAAATATATTATCTTATTTTTACATTTCAGCTCATTTCTGACTGAAAACAAACAGAATAGTGAGTGAACATTTTTCAAAATGCTGCAGTTAAAATACTTTAGGTAAAAAAAAAAATAATAATAAATAATAATAATAGTAATAACTAACTGCACCATAATAAACCAAACTCAATGAAAAATAAAATTATCACTTTTTAGGCTCAAAAACACATATATAAACAAATGCCTGCTATACTAAACTGATGATATCATCATCATTTAACAGTTTCCCTCACATTATTTCCAAGCACACATATTTATTTGTTTTTGTCTACAAGGAAAATGGAAATTTATATACTACTAAGCATTCCATTCCTATGCTAAATCAGTACAAGTACCCTCCCACAGCAATTATTTTCTAGAATAAATGTGCAAAATATGTGAAAACAGTCTTTTATCCATACACTTCTCAATGGCAAGATGAAACATACAAAAACAATTACTGTTTGCTAAGTTATATAAGTAAATATTTCAAAAGACAAAAAAAAAAAAAAAAAAAAAATCAAACACTTGGTCAACAAAGCACTGACCTCTGTACTGGTGCTATCCTTGCGACCTAGAATGTGATATGCTGTTCCTCTAGTTGCACCGGTCAGCTGTGTACGTTGAATCAGTTGTTGTTTGTTGCCTAAAATGTTTTTCATCTGCTGCAAGGCTGATACTTCAAAACTGCTAAATGAGTTCTGAGCATTGCGACTGGATAGCAACTTAGTTTTTTCATACCACCTGTAACAAACATAAAGCTACAACATCTACTATAATTATCCTTATTTCTTGTAGAGTTAATATAAATCTTGTGTCAAAAATGTTCAAGCAAAAGTATTCTTCAAATATTCAGCAAATAAAAGAGAGCCAATAATTTTACTTTAATTTTGTGGCTGTGAATGTCATAGTAAGTGCTCAGTGAGTCAGTGTTAAATAACAGCCTTGGTGGTGGCCTGTTATCATATAATTGTCATTACTATTATTATAATAATCATCATCATTAGGTGGTGGCCTATTACTATATAATTATCGTTATTTTAACTATTACTATTATTAATAAGTATATTATTATTATTATCATTGTCATTATTATCATCGTTATCATTTTCATTATTACCATTATTATCATAAACAAAAAATGGTGTCATCATTGGACTGAATTCACTTTTATGATGGTTTTATAAAATACAGGTGAAGTTTAATTTAGGTTACAATACCCAAACTTGCTATGACCCCTTTTTTACTTGAATTCTGTGTCAGAGTTTGCAGAATGGACAATAACCAAACCCTGAACATAACCCAACTTGCCTAAGAAAACTGATAAATACCTGTTTACAGTTTCATCCCGGAATGGAATATATGCAGCATGTCTTTTACTCAAGAGCTCTTCATACTCTTCCATCTTTAATTTTCGTTTGGTTCCTTTACTGGTCTCCTTTTGCTCCTCTTCTTCCATCTTTTCATCTTCACTACTTGTAATTTCTTCATCACTGAGAAGAACATTTTGTTAATTTACAGTCATTCTACTAAATTAGTTGATGAAAAATAGCAAGGGTTTAGATGGTCACATGAATAACTGTATATAGTATACTGCAAATGAATTTCAACATTATGTGTAATGATATATTAAGTTGTAATCAGTGACCTAAACTAGGAAAAAATGTTAGATCTTAGAACAATATATTTTCTTAAGCAAAGAAAACAAAGCAAGACAAAAGGAAACATAAAAATAATTAAACAGAAATACACTCACTTAATTTTAGGTGATACATTCTAAACTGTGCCAAATTTCAGCAACTCACCTCTCTGTTCCCATATCCTTCTTCTGTTTACCAGTTATTATGTGTTGTGTCTCTGGATTCTTTTTTAAGATTAATTCCTGAAAACAAAAGAAAATCTGGTTGAGTTTCTAAATAATTCCATGAAATATATATAGCATTTAGAAAAAATTTTCAATAAAACTTCCAACAATAAAGGAAGGGAGCAGGCTGGAAAAGTGAGGAAACTTAAAGCACTTATTATGTTATTAAAACTAATAACAATACTAATTTTTATAAAGTAGATTTTCCAAAAACCAAGGAAAAGGGGAAACAGTTGAGCTAAACAGGACTAATAATTGTTTCTTTGGTGGCTAGGTATTTGTGGAGCCATCTATGCGTAAACACATTAAATAAACTAAAATCACAGCGGTCATGATGTGTATGTCATACCATCCCAGCACAAAGGATAAAAACAATCTCAGTCCGATAACTGTGCTCATACTTAAATGCTACTTTGCACCATGCAGTACCATAAACACAAATGAAGAGCTATTAAATCTCACCTGTATATCCAGAAGTGTGTTAAGCAAGACCTTGGTTGCAGACTTTGCAGTGGAAAGATTCTTGGTGTAGTTTGGATCATTCTCCCGTACAAACAGCTTGAAGGTGTTACACTGTGGTAACTGGTTTGTCTGACTCACCATCTTCTGCATACTGATGCGACTTCTCAAACAATGAGTCATATATTTCTGTAAGTACACATAAGAACAGTGTGAGCATACTCTTTTGCCTATTGGTGAGGAAGACTTTTCCAGGAGCTATTGGAAGAGTAGCACCTCAAAGTAATATGGTATTACCTTGTAGGGCTTAACCCATTCGCGCTGGGTAAAAATGAACAAAAAATGATGGAAATGCTGTGCTCATTTTTTATATTTTTTAATTAAATGTCTCTACACTAGATGGCTCTGCCTTACCTGATTTCACCTTTACTTGAATTGGCAGGAAAATGTAGTTTTACTAGTGCTATGAATATCGATGGTTATTTTTATTATAAACATTATAATTACTATAATGTTATAAACATTAGTAACAGCAAAATAAGATAACATAAGATATTCTCGTAAATTAAAGAAAAGGGTAAACAGGCGAGACAGGAAGTACAAGTACAAGTGTAGCCATCTATGTGTGAAAACAATCAAACAATTAAACACGCAGTAGGTCCGTCACGTATACGTGACACCCAGTGTGAATGGGTTAAGGCAAGTAGCCCTCCTTAACTGAAAAGAATCTCTGAAATATGCTAGAGCAATATTTCCCTATATTTAAAGCAAAGTGAATTTTATCTGAAATCATACTTTTAAAAATCATGCTGTTGTGAGTATACTATTAAATAGTACCAATATCTTTTGATCAATATGTATGTGTATATATATATATATATATATATATATATATATATATATATATATATATATATATATATATATATATATATATATATATATATATATATATATATATGTATATTTTACAATAAGAACTTTACATCAAAGATTATTTTTAAGATCAACCTGATATGCTTCCAGTCTTGCATACCAATTAAAAATCTATTCCCATGCTAGCACTTACCTAACTGACTTTTCACTGCTCGACCTTTCCTGACCTCTTCCGACTGATCTTCGCTGCTGAATTTCTTGAGAGATCCTCCATAACCACTCTCAGAATCTATACCCTCCTCTTCATCTATACTTAGCTCTTCATTGTCATCGTCATCGTCATCATCATCATCACCATCTTCATCATCTTCAAAATCTTCACCATATTTGCTGAAGTCCCCATCCTTATCAAATCTAAAACAGAATTATCATAGTGAGTAAGTGTTACTCTCTTTATTTTTCTTTTATTGTTGCTCATTGGTTGAAGGAAAAAGAAAAAAAAAGCAGATATAATACTATAAATTAATGATTAGGTCAATGAAAGTAAAGAATAACATCCACCTACGTGAATTCACTTGAGTCATTCTGGAGCCTCTCACGAATCTTCGTTGTGGATTCATCCTCTTCCTCACTGTACAAGCTTTCATCCAACTCCTCATCTCTTGCTTTGTTTTTCTTGACAGCCTGTTTCAAAGCCATTTTCTTCAACCCTGCATTCACTTCAGTTACACTTTCTTCCTCACTCTCATCATCATCTTCACTTTCCTCCTCTTCCTCTTCTTCTTCTCCATCTTCTTCCTCATCTTCTCCATCTTCCTCATCCTCCTCATTTTCATCACTACCTTCCTCTTCTTCATCACCCTCTATGACAAAGAATTTGCTCAATGATGGATCAAAAGTGACTTCATTATCTTTCTTGAGATCCTTGCGAGAAACCTTCTTGCCTTTATATCGAGGATCACTTTCTGATAAGAGAGCAGCACTCTGTGCTCTAAGTTTGCTTATCGGTTGCCCAATCTGATCAGCACTCTCTTCCTTTGCAACTGAATCTACTACCTGTGCTTTAGTTATTACTGTATGGGAAGAAAAAAAATCTATGAGTTTGTGAATACATACTTATATACAGCTAAAATTACCTGCTATGTAATATAAGATCATGTTACCATCAGTCAGTATAGGAAAGCTTAAGTGCAACAAAAAGCATCAAAGATATCAGAAAATTATGGGGGGGAGATGGAAAACAATGTATATGCAAATCAAAACCAAACTTATGAAATTGCTAATAGTGTAGGTCTAAATTATTATTTTTTAGTATATACAACAAACATGAATAAGTTTTACACAGCTAATTACATAATCTGGTAAAATTAAACTTTTAGATAAATGTAGACATGAGGGATAATGGATAAATAAACTGATGGTCTTCCTTGTAATGCACATGACATTGACCCTTCATGATCTTCCCCTTTTCCAGAACTATACCTTCTATACCCTATTCCCAATCTGGGAGGGGAAATAATACCTGTGAAAAATAAAAAAAAAACAGTATGCAATATTAAGGGCAGCACTGCCAAATTTATGAAAACAAATTATATTATAGGTATTACTTCATTAGATTCCTAACATCAAATTCCATATCTAAAAGCTAAACTCACCATGTACAAGAGCAAAACATTACAAGACAACTTTTCTTTTTACCTTTTCTACTGCAAATCAATAATAGGGAAACTGGCAATAACAGAAGGAAGTCACAAAGCATGCTATGCCATAATACAACACTTAGTCCTAGCTAATTAAAAATTCAATGGATTATCGTATGACAACAAATCCTGCTATCACAGCTAAAGGGCTCATTATATTCATAAATATTTCAAACCATCAGATTTTCAAATATAAAATTTGAGTCTTCAAACAGGATAAACAGATCTGAATAAGAAAGAGAGAAAAAAGAATGAAAAAAAATAATAGTAATAATAAAAACAATAATAAATAAATAAATAAATAAAATAAAATCAGGTGGAATGGTTAACTTTACATTTGGTAGTAAAACAGTTTACATGTTTTAAACTGTGGGAAGAAAAGGTATAAGAGAGCTCTTTCCAAGCTCACCTGTCTATTGTAAAATCTGCATCTTATTTTACTCCCCATTGAAATGAGACACTTGCAACTGAAAATATACATATTCATTCACCATCTATACAGAATTTCTGGGATTTCTTTATATCAAAACATTTATTAGTAAACCTCCTCCCATTATTGTTAAATTTTCTGTTGAAAATTGGGGTTTCTGACCCTTCCTCAGGTCATAGTTTTGACTAATGAAGATGGGACTCCCTCTCTTTTTGCAAAAAACCCTATGTGTCCATGCTTGAATGAGATAGTTGTCTAAAATTAGGCATTTCTGGAAAACATACAATAACAGCATTAAAGTTATGGCTCTTTTTTGTGTCTGTTTTTACCAGACATAGTGTATGTAAGTATAGATGGTGGGGAAACCCACAATCCACATACTAGATTTACTGGAAAATGAGACAACAGTTTCAATACTCCCATAGATTTCATCTGGAGATCTGAAGATGCAATTACCAAGTTATCAAATAAAATAATATAGGAGAAGGAGAGAGGAGGAGGAGGAGGAGGAGGAGGAGGAGGAGGAGGAGGAGGAAGGAGGAGGAGGAAGAGGAAGAGGAGCTGGAGGAGGAGGAGGAGGAGGAGGAGGAGGAGGAGGAGGAGGAGGAGGAGGAGGAGGAGGAGGAGGATGAGGAGGAGGATGAGGAGGAGGAGGATGAGGAGCTGGAGGAGGAGGAAGAGGAGCTGGAGGAGGAGTAGGAGGAGGAGGAGGAGGAAGAAGAGGAGCTGGAGGAGGAGGAGGAGGAGTAGGAGGAGGAGGAGGAAGAAGAGGAGCTAGAGGAGGAGTAGGATGAGGAGAAGGAAGGGGAAGGGGGAGGGGGAGGGGGAAGGGAAGGGGAAGGGGAAGGGGAAGGGGAAGGGGAAGGGGAAGGGGAAGGGGAAGGGGAAGGGGAAGGGGAAGGGGAAGGGGAAGGGGAAGGGGAAGGGGAAGGGGAAGGGGAAGGGGAAGGGGAAGGGGAAGGGGAAGGGGAAGGGGAAGGGGAGGAAGAGGAATAGAAAATCAAAACCTTCTCAGTCATTACATGATAATGAAATGATTAAAGATCATGTAAACTTCAAAAAAATCCTTGGCTACATTATAATGTGTATATTATGCACAAAATTAGTTACATGCGGGCAATATTCAAAGGGAAAAAATTGAGTGAGTTAACAAGCTTTATGTAAGTAAATCAAGGCTGAAACCTTTTAAAGTTGCATATATTGCAAAACTGCCAAAATTTCATTCTAAATAGAATTTGGGAAGCTCCTTCCCTTAATTTTCTTGGCATACCTATGATTCCCATCTATCACAACCATCATTACTGCTATAGTTCTTCTGAGAATGAATGCTGGATTCAATTATGATACGTTATCCAAATAATGTTGTGTATAATTAAGATTCAGTATATGAAGCCAACTTAACATATATCAATAATGGCTTAAAAAGTTACATTTTCAGGATAGGACAATAAGAACAGGAAAATTATACTGACAGCCACAAAAAATATATGACATGTTACATCACTGGCTGCAAGTCCAGCAATACTTTATCCTTTGCATTTCATATGCTGGCAATGTTTAGCATTACCCGCACTTTAATGACAAAAAGGGAAATTGGCCCAGTTATTGCTTTCTTTATAGCCATAAGTTTAGTATTTCTTTCTCTTCACTGCTACTAATTTGAACACTCCCCTTCTATCTGGCCAAAATCTCTTGATATTCGATACATAAAATCTTATGTATTGCGGATCTGCTACCGAGATTTCCCGAATATAACCCAGCTCATCTTACTGCTAATGCAACTACAGGAACGAAATTTGGTACCTTGGTCTTCATCATCCACATTAAATGAAGCCGCTGGATTCAGAAGATACTTTTCAACATAAGACTGGAGAGAATTAGCCATGGTTTTCACGTGTTAGATCACAACATTGAACGCCGTATAGCACTCCGCCCTCACGTGCATGATATTTGTAAACATTGAGAGGGACGTGCGTAATGAAAATAATTTTTAGGAATGGAAAATATATACCACACAAAAGAGGTAGATTTTTTGTATAGTATGTAGATACGATTTATTTGAAGTGTTTGTATATGTTTTTTATATAAGTAAGTATGTAAAGTGATAATTAGGTAAGTGATTATGTTTGGATGAGAGTAAGTATAAATGATTTTATGTAATCATGCGTGTGATATATTTATATATATAGAATAAGACCAAGTATATATTTACATATACTACTATACTACTAATGCATCAATAAATTTTAAAAAGCATTCCGTAAAATTAAATCGCCCGTATCCCTTCACAGCGGCATGATCGTCTGCAGTAAACAAAAAGTCGGGAGGTTCATGACCGTGTGTGTTTGAATGAAATTACCATGAAACGAGGATCAACACGGCGAACAAAACAGTGACAAATTCCAGTTCAACTTCCCTTCTCCCCAAACACCCCAGTCAAGGAGGAGAAGGACTCAGCGATATGTCAGCCGAAGTAGCATCGAGTTCGGCTGTCCAGGATGGCTCGAGGAGGACCTTATTCACCCCGCAGGAGATCGACCAAATCGCCAAGTTCCTCGTGTCCAACCAGAGGAGAGAAAGGGAGAATGTCATTATTCCGAGGTCCTTTGTTCCTGTGGTGATCAAGGGGAGGGAAGAGAAGACAGTAGAAGCGATATTCGAGAGCTGTCCTTTCAAGGCGGTGCTGTCTCTCATGGCAGGTCAGTAGTGTATGCGGATATGCTTTAATGTATATCACATTTCTCAACAATTTTACCATTGGGGAGTCTGTATAGGGGTAAATATTCATCCAATTAGGCTGGGCATGCAGCAGGTGTTGTTATTCTTGAAGGATATCTTGCTTCATAATAGATTAATTTTGAACCTGTGATTTCCCTTGTGGATATCCTGCTCTTGCAATCAGTGAGGGCTAAGATTGTCAGTAGACAGTAAAACTAATGCTAGTGTTACTGGTAGTGAAATAATATAAAAGCCTTTTCTTTGACAGACACAGAAGAGTAAACTTTGATATGAGAACGGCACCGATTCCAATGATTCCTAGGGAAAGTGTCTGCTTGCTGCCTTTTACTTGCCTTGGCAAGAGTGTTTCCCAAATATCAAATTTATTTGATTATTTATAAACAGAGCTACAACACTCTTTTCATTGTTGTGGAAGCTAAATAAATTGTTTATCAGTTTGAATAATATCCTTCTACTGTTACAAGTTTTTATTCAATACTGTTTCTAAATTCATATCTGCAAACATAAACAACTAGTACATGTGTACATGTCTTGTGATCCCTTGGTTCAGCTGCAAGCATACTTTTGATATATTTGGAAGAGTTCTTGCTTTTCTTGGATTACTTGGATTAACTCATTATTATTGGAAGTTTCATTATTTTTGAAATTTCCAAAGGTTTATAACACAAAAAGTAAAAAATACTTTCCTCATACAGGCTTTGTCCTTGGTGGTGGTATTGGTCTATTTGCTGCCAGTGTGACACCAACTATACCAACACCAGAAAAACCTACACAGTCAGCCCGAGAGGTAAGATGATAAGATTTATCAGTGAAGAAGTTTCAAGAGTGAGAAAAAAATTGATATAGACAATTCAAAAACAAACTATATGTATGTAAAGGTGATGCATAGTTTGAAAAGGACTCACTTTGATTCATAAGAATAAAATGTAGAACAGTTGAAAATTGACACAGTAACAGTAACTATGTAATGATTGTCTTTTTGGGATGAAATTTACTGATGTAACCCTTTTGTTTCAGGTTCTCAGAGAATTGAAAGTCTCTACAATTTCATATGGTAAAAATTTTGCTGCTATAGGATTCCTGTTTTCAGGGATAGAATGTGGGATTGAGTCGGTAAGTATCTTTAAGCATTATACCTCCACTATGTATATTCTGGCTAAGTGTGGCATTTAGTACACTCAGATAAATTTCCATAAAAGAGGGAACCAGTCCAAGCTCTATTGTACCAAATATTTGTAGTAAAGTTAAGGTGGCTTTTGTTGCAATGAAGAAGGTACAGAGCCCATGGAACTAATTGGCTTAGGTTCAAGAATCACCTTAATTTCAAATAGTATTTGTTTACTTTGGTAATAAGGGCTACATATAAAGAGAAACCAAGTAATTTGAATATAATGTTCATTTTCCCAGAGTATAATGTTGAAAATACAGTAAAGTTAGAGACTATTTGCCATCATCATCTTTCAGTATCGTGGGAAGAGCGATTGGAAAAATGGAACATATGCTGGAGGTCTCACAGGAGGTCTTCTTGGAATTAGAGGTTTGTATTTTAAAACTATGTTATTCATTCTTATGTTTGATTTCATTAATGACATTTGGATATACCCTATGTAAACTGAAAGGTCTTTCTTTTTTTTTTTCTCTCTCTCTCTCTCTTTGAAATTAAGAAACTAATATTACTTACTATTTTTTCAGCTGGAGTGAAGGCTGGAGTGCTGGGTGCCTGTGGATTTGCAGTTTTTTCCTTTGCTATTGATTACTACATGAGAGGAGGACTCTGATTTCCTTTCTATTATTTTTTTGGTGGGTGGAAGGAAAGATTTCCCTTAATGGCTTCCCTTAACATTGTTTATTCATGTGGCAAGATGACAGTGATGTCCTCTAAAGAATTCAGTACCTGTAAATTACAACATCTGAATTTAGAGATTTGTGATATAGATTTTATGCTTTCAGATAGTTTATGGGTTAAAGAAAGATTATAACACATGCATTTGAATTCCTCATCCTATTTGTTGTTTATATGAGCAAAATATATACAGGTAACAAGCAGTAAGTCTGCAGATTATTGTAGAAGTTATTTCAGAAATCATCTTAAATTGATATAAAATTTGTAAATCACCAAATATTTGAAAAATATTACTTCCATGATGAGATAATTTATGGGCTTAAGAGATTTTAAAATTTAGGAAAAACTGTTCCTGAGAGAAAATATTGGTTATGTG